CACTTACAGCCTCTGACTCCACTCTCCAGCCCTTCCCTGGGCTCCTCGGTTTCTCATTGGTGAGATCACCATAACTAGCCCAACTCGGGCCCTCTCTGCTGCTACCTACTGGCCATGGGCATGCTCCTATACCACGCAGCTCTGTAGGTAGTACCCCAGCTCACTCTCTTTCCACCTCTTGCTCTGGGCTTAGCCATCAATACCACCATTCTCAGAAAGGGATTTATCCATGGATTGATTTGATATGAAACCACATGAACGTGGGGCCCAAGATATGCCTGTTCTCTCTGGCCCATTCCCCTTGCTTTCCAGATTCTCCCTCTGGCAGAGCTCAGAAGGTTCCCTTCTACATAGGCCTCAGCTCTTCCTAGCTTGGGAATCCTCCATTGCCCCACACCGGGCTCCTATTCTATGACCTTGTCCTGAGCAGGACGGAGTCTCCTCTAACGTCTCCTCTCCAGCTAATGCTTCAGCTCCTGCATCTCCACTATGTAATGCTCTGTTCTGCTTCACTCTCCTTCTCAGAAGTTGGGGTTTCAATGTTACTGCAGTATCCTCCTCCCCCCTTTCCCCTCTCTCCTAAAATGGTCATCACCTCTCCTAGACTCAGTTGGTCCTTCTATTCTCCTGCTCAGTATACTCCTGACATCATCCCCCAAGTCCTTGCATCAATGTCCAGCTTCCCAGGCCCAGAGCGAAGATTGCCTAGGAGGCAGATTGGACCAGATGGTATTACCTGTCCAGAGGGATCTGCCAGTATCCGGGGTTAGAGACAGGTACCCAATTGAGGTTTCCTTGGCAGTAAGAAGAGTCTACACCCACAAACATCACCATTCTGCCCTTCTGCTCATCCCTGAGGGGGAAGGAAGGAAAGGAGGGCGTCACCAGCAGCTCAGTGAATGCTCAGTCAAGATTCTTCTGTTTTGTCATAGAATTTTAGAACTGGAGCCCACCTTATGACACTGACCTTAGAATGTCAGAGCTGGAGGGGCCCTTAGAACACAGAACATCAGAGCTCAGCGGTTCCTTGGAATACAGAATGTCAACGTTGGAAGAGCCCTTAGAACACAGAACATCAGAGCTCAGCAGTTCCTTGGAATACAGAATGTCAACGTTGGAAGAGCCCTTAGAACACAGAACATCAGAGCTCAGCGGTTCCTTGGAATACAGAATGTCAACGTTGGAAGGGCCCTTAGAACACAGAACATCAGAACTCAGCAGTTCCTTGGAATACAGAATGTCAACGTTGGAGGGACCCTTAGAACAAAGAACATTGAATGCCAGGGCTAAGGCTTTAGAGATTATCCAACCTAACCCTCTCACTTCACAGTTAGATACCTTAGGGAAGAAGGATTACCTGCTGATTAGAAAACATTACGTCTGCCACGGGGGCATTATATCTCTTAGGAACCTGGGTTCAGCTAATATAGTAGAGGAGGCCAGAGAGGGGAAAGGTGTTCCTAAAGCCACACAAATGGTGAGGAGCAGAGCTGGAATTCACAGCCAAACCCTCTGATTCCCAATCTTTATTTACAACATACCAGGCTTTTCTTACCATTCTAGTCTAACCCCTTCACTCCCTTAGTGAACTTTATAAACATGAGCTGCTATTATTAACATTATAGTACCAATATGTAATAAATATATATAATAATATAATATAATACAATATAAGACAGATAGTGGTTAAGTGAGCTTTGTATAGAATGATGGCACTTTGCATGTTACCTCACTTGATCCTTCCAGAAAACCTGGGAGGCACGTGCTATTATAATCCCCAATTTACAGATGAGGAAACTGAGGTTGATAGATTAGGACTTGCCCAGGACCGCATAGCTGGTAAGCAGCTGAGGCAAGAACTGACCCCAGGTCTTGGACTATCTATGTGATCTGCCACCCAGCTGTTCCAGAATTTGGGAAGAGGTATTAACAGGCAAAAATGACTTATCTCCCTCCATCCTTCATCCCATCATTTCAATCCAGAATTAACCTCTTCCCCAAGAGATCCTGGGGTCAGACTTGGAGAGAAAAATAGAATGCAGTCTAAATGAATCAATTCTCTTCTGAGCCCCTAGAACTTTTAGCACTTAAAGGCTTCCTAGAGGCCTCAGAGTGAGCCCATTGGGTAACTGTAGATATTGGGCTGTGGGTTAATGATTGTGTGTTGGGAGAGGGAGGGGAGGCTGAGGGAGAGAAAAGCTGAAGAGTCAAGTCTGTCCACTAGACTGGGAGCTCTTTGAAGGCATCACCTTGGCTCCTTTGTTTTGAGGGCTCCCTCGGTACCTGAGTACTTTGCATACAGTAGGCATTCAATAAATGTTTGCGGAATTTGCTGAATTTCTGAGTGCAGGCCCACAGCTGGGAGGGAAGTTGAATCTGGGGGGGGGATAGCTTTGCCTCCTTTTGTCTTGCCAGGGCCTCTGGGCATCCTCTGATTTAGGAGGCAGTTGTGAAGCAGAGGCAAGAGCCGCCCTGGGAGCTTATGTATCTTCTTAAAGAGATTTTCAGTCATCAGGAGTCTGAACTTCTCCAGACCTCAGGGATCTTGTCTGTAAAATGACAGGGCTAGACCAGGTGATCCCCAAGGTCTTTTCTAGCTCAAAACCTACGATCTTATGATCCAGGCTAAAAACAACGACGTGAGATATAGAGCCAAGAACTTGGATTTGAATAGTCAGCTCTGCTCTGCCATTGTGAGGCCTGGTATAAGTCATTTCCCTTCTATGTGCCTCAACCCCCCCTAAAATGGATGTGGGGTAGATGGAATGATCTCTAAGGGATCCTCTTGGTCTGACGTTCATAAGGTCATAGGATTATAAATTCTGACCCGTCAGAAGTCTTAGAGGTCATCTAGTTCAATCCTATCATTATACAAGTGAGGGAACTGAGGTTAAGACTCCTCACTGCTGGGAATCTCTTAAAGCGGATTGAAGTTCTTTCATGACACTTTCAAGCTTTGGCTAGTATCAGGTAACTTGATGCCCACTACTGGAGTGGCCAATAGCGGTCATAGCATATGTGGAGTCCTCAGTACATGAGGTGGCTATGATTTTGTGGGTGTGGGAGTTTCCTTAACGAACACAGGTCATGAATCTGTTTCGAACTTAGCAGGGAGGTCTTAGTGAGGTCCTTGAGTCTCAAGGAGGTTAACTTGTGGCACAGTCACGTAGTAAAGTGTCAGAGTTAGGATTAGAAGCCAGCTCTTCCTGAATCCAAACCCAGTGACCTCTCCATCCACACTCTCTCTCCATTCATCATGGCGGACAGTTCACCATTCTGCCAGCGGAGGGCGTTTCCTGCCCTTACTAACGAGCTCAGGTAGACAGCAAAGACATTTAGGAAAGCAGGCCATGGTCCCACATGTTGTCAAAGGCTGGGGTAGCTTCAGAGACTGCAAGGGAGGGGTAAGCCAGAGCCAGGATCCCACAGAAAGGGGTATAGTACAGGGGACTCCCAGGCTCAGTGCTGCTCAGACCAAGGGCTTGGTTAGAATCTAGAATATGTCCAATCTCAGCACAAGAGAGAATGAAAAGTATTTCTAGAACAGATGGGTGCAGAAATAACAGGCAAGCAACCTTGAGGCACACAGGGAATGTGGAAACTGATTTGCTATGGGAACAATAACCAATAATTCTGGATTAGCATTTAAAAACAATTTTTTAGCCCAAAAGAATGAATTGTTAAAATTCATTTTCAACTTCAAAAATTTCCATTTCAAATTTCAAAATTTCAAAAATTTTGAATTTCAAAATCAAAGGACTCTGAGAGGAAAGATTTTTAGAACAATGAACAGAACCATCAGTAGGGTAGGGTGACCTGGGCTTTTTCCCGGGTACCAAAACTCAGAGGCACAAAACTTTAACAATGACAGCCAGCGTTATATAGCACTTATCTCATTTACTCCTCACAACAATTCTGTGAGGTAGATGCTATTGTTGCCCTCATTTTACAGACTGGGAAACTGAGAGAGATTAGCACCTCGCCCAGCACCTGGTAACTCCAAGTCCAGTAGTCTTGCCTACTGTGTGTCCTAACTACCTCAAAACGTATGCTGCATGAGCGCTCTCCCTCAATCGGGTCTTAATATCTTCACCCCTAAATGGCTAATATGAGAACATATTTAGTGGGGTTTGCTCTGGGATACTAATTTGGACTTCTGGATCTAGGCCAGAAATAGCTGATTATGTTGTTAGTAATGAAATCTTTCCAATGTGCCCTTGAGGCAGCTAGGTGAGGGAACGGATAGTGCCTGGAGTCACGAAGACCTGAGTTCAAATCCCAACTCAAAACACTTACTAGCTTTGTGACCCTAGGCACTTAACTTCTGTCCGCATCAGCTTTTTCAATTGTAAAACGAGCATCATAATAGCATCTACCTCCTAAGGTTGTTGGGAGGAGCAAATGAGAAAATACTTGTCAAGCTCTTAGTGCAGTGCTTGGCACATAGCAGGTGCTTCATAAATGTTCCTGTCCTTTTCCCCTCCTTCTCACTCATAAGGCCAGCCCTGCCTTTTAGCTGTGGCTTGGGTTGGATTCTATGGTCACCTGGACAATGTCATAGGCAAGAAACCCAGTCATGCGGCCGGTGCCGTAGTGGACGGCCATGGTCTGGCTGGTGGGCTGGAAGCTGAAGGACTTCAGAGGGTCGAACAGGTTGTGGTTGGCTGCAAACACCACAAGATTGGTGGTCAGTCCCTTAGTCCCCAGGCTCTGTGGAGTTCCCACCCCATCCTCTGTGAAGCAATGGGGAAGGGCAAAGGAAATAAATTGGAGGCGGTGAGAGTGACAGAAAGGACCATGGGAGAAGGAAGAATGTCTCAATGATGAAATGAACATCTGTTCTAAGGCTGAAATTCTGGACACGCGGAAGTCCTTAGGGATCCCATTCTATGGACTTGTCTTCTCGGTAAAAATGATGGAGTGGGACCAGATGTCCTCTTAGGTCCTTTCCAGTTTTAAATCTATGATCCTAAGAACCACGCTGAAGGGTCTGATCTCATTGGCACGGACCAGATGGGAATGCCCTACCACTCAAGGAATCACAATCATGACAAAAGCCCTTGGGCCCTGGTGGACTTACAGCAGGTGAGGCTGAAGCAGCAGACTGAGGGGACCCATAGGTTGGAGGATCTGGTATCAAAGAGGACCGAGAGCTCTTGTGGGGGGGTTCTCAATACTGATGGTTCCAGAGTACGCAGTCTGCCAGACCAGGAAAAATGGCCAGTTACAGGGAATGTTCACCAGCCCTTTCTTCTTTATGGCACCAGGCCAACCCCATTATCCTCATTCAGACATATCTTGTTCCATCCCATCACCTTTGCTTACACTGTTCCATGCTCCCCAAATGCCCTCCTAATTATTCTGTCTGTCCAAATTCTACCCACTCGTCAAGGCCCAGCTCAGGCCTCTCCCTCTCCATGAGCCTTCCTTATCCCCTCCAACATACAGAAATCACCTCTTCTTCGAACTCATAGCAACTATGCTCTGTGTCACTTACTTGTCAGTTAACCATTTACTGTCTCCCAGCATCTCACACTGTTATAAAGTTTTTATATTTGTACTCTGTCTTCCCAACAGGCCTGCCCTCAAGGAGCTTACATTCTTCTTGGGGTGTTCTCATTGGTTCAGCTGCTCATTTGGGTAAGACTGAGAAGGCCAAGTACATGGTTCAATTCTATGAAATCCTCTTTTTGGCTTTTAAAATCCTTCACAGCCTGGCCCTCTCCTACCTTTCCGGTCTTCTTACAGCTTATTAACCTCTGGTTGTTCCCGCCATCTTGGTGCTTTTTGTATGAGACACTCCATCTCCAGGCATGTTCACTGACTCCTCCAGGCCTGGAATTCTGTCCCTCCCTGTCTCTGCCTCCTGACTTCCTTCAAGTCTCGGCTAAAATCCCACCTTCCACAACAGGAAGACTACAGTGTCTTCCTTCAGTTCTTCTACCATCTTCCATGATGGCTGCGCCTTCTCTCAGTCTTCATTTTAGCCTCTAGAGAGCTTGTTTGCGTGCTGTCTCTCCCATGACATTATGAGCATCTCTAGGGCAGGGACTGTCTTTTCCCTTTTTTTATATCCCCAGTGCTTAGCACGGTGCCTGGCATTCATTCATTCAATAAACATGTATTAAGTGCTTAATAAATGCTTATTGACTTGGCTGACCAGACTCTATTTTAACTATAAAAAGAAAACAAATTACTAGGGGAAACATGGCCTTAGGCTCAGGGCCTTATACACCAAGGGGCAAGTCCAGGGTTGCCCACTCTTTCTGACCACTAACATCCTAAGTCCAACACCAGCCTTGGGTGCCCACTCCTCTCAGCACCCAACACCATGGTTGGGGTGAGGCTCTGAACCTGGCCCTTCCAACCAACTCACATCCATGTAGTTGGCCAAGGGTTCTCCAGCTTCTTCAGTGGCTACAAAGCTGGAAAAGTACTTAGTTGCCTGATTCCATGGGTGTCTTTTCAGGAAATCCTTCAACAGAACCTGTTCTTGGAGGTTCTGCCTTAGGGACTTCCCTTTCTTCAAGGGGACCCTTTAGGGTTGAAAAAGATGACAGTCAAGAAAGGATGAGAAGTAGGTAGGGGGCTGCTCAGATCATCCCATACGGGACACCCATGACTCTGGAATTTACACTCCACTCTGGACTTTCTAAAGCCAATGAATTGTCTCCCCATATCCTTTCAACAATGGTTCAGTGAGGCAAGAATAATAATTAGTGAATAACATAGCATTTTCTAGACTTTATGTTATGTGAACTTCACAAGCACCCTCTGAGACTGGTCCTATGGGTGGTTTTATACCCACTTTATGGATGAGGAAACTAAGGCCCTGGGTGGTCATTGGAAGGGATCCCAGAGGGCATCCAGGGGGCCCACAATTTTGCAGATGAGGAGAGTAGCTTCCAATTTTAACTAATTATCTTTGCTCACTAATTATCATGCTCAGGAATTTCTATGCTGTGGAAGGAAAGCAAATGCCATCAGCACCTTCTCAATTTTGGCACCTTGGGGCAAAGGGCCAGCTGTCCCAGCTTAGTTACAGCTCTGGTTAGGAGAGTTCAGAAGGACAGAGCTCACCAGATGAAGCCTTCAGAGATGACCACCAGCCCCAGGAAGAAGAACCACTTCATGTTTCTTGCCTATCCCCCAACCCCTTGGGAAAGGCAAGATGAAGCATGGAGCTCCAGCAGCTGGCTCAAAGCTGCCTCCTCTACATACTTCCCACCACTGTACCCAGGCCCCTTGGAGGCCTGTTAGGAAGACTCCATAAGAAATGCAAACCTTCCTGGGGGATATTCCTTTTTCTCCTTGTTATCCTCAACAAAAGCAATTCGAGAATTCTCCAAATACACAGTGGTTGGGTTTTTTCTATAGTTTTTTCCTTCGGGTTCTTCCTGGAAAGCCCCATGACTTACCCAGGGTATGGGGAAGTTATTGCTAATTGGGATTTAATCAGAGTCAGGACTTGGGAAGTAGAGGTGGGGGAACCTTAAGCATGTGTTGAGTTCATGTAAGGAGAAAAGTGGTGGGATGTCCTCCTCTGGCCGTGGATGGGGACAGCTCTCCAGTGTAAGGGGGAGGGCAGCATTTCATGGGATGCCAGCTCCTGGTGGGGCCTGGGGGCTAAGTATTACTCATCATTCTTCCCACTTGCCTTACTTCACCCATTTCTGCCAGGGGGCTTGGGTGTCTGGTCTTGATAGGCTCTCAGAAGAGACTCAGTTTCCAGACTTAGAGCCTGAGACTCATTTTCCAAGGGAAGAGACTTAGGAAAAGAGCGTCTCCAAGATAGCATCTCCTGGCTCTGATCAGGACTCAGCCTTTCCTAAACAAAGTGGTTCCTCTTTGGGTTCTGAGAAAGGAAACAATCCAATTTAACAGCATTACTGGGCCTACTCTGTACTTGGTGTTGGGAGGCATGGAGTCCAGGAGAAAGAAGAAAAAATTCAGGGGGAAATGGGGGCTAGCCAGGGGTAAAAAGGAACAGTATGGGGGAAAGAGTGAACAAAAGAAAGGCAGACCTGCTAACTAAGAATGCTCTTTGGTCTACAGACTGAGAAGCTGGAAGAATGAGAATGACTGTGCATGTGGGAGGATCCCCCAGTGTCCCCTTCCCCCCCCAGAACTTTTCCAGCCTTTGTCCTACTGCCAGAGGAATGGCAAGAAGTTCAGGAACAGGGTCAGGTGGGGATTTTAGAAGGAAAGGAAAGGAAGGGAATATACCCAATTATTTGTAAGGGTGGAATATCATGCAATGTATCTGTGGGCTCTTTCATGAGGAAGCTCCCTCCCATGGTACAGACGACAGCCTGTGGGACCCTCATCTGTGGCCTCTGGACAGTCTACCCAAATAGACAGAGAGCTAGACAGAACATTTACTAAACACCTGCTATGTACCTAGGTGCTGTGCTAAGCACTGAGAATATAAATAAAGGCAAAAAAGATAGTCCCTACCCTTGGGAAGAGAACACCTAATAGGGGCTAGAAATTGGGGGTGGGGCTGTTGGGGAGGAGGTGGAAAAGTCCAGAGAGTCAGTAGTGGAGTTGTGAGAGAAGTGAGTTTGGACCCCAGCAGGTCTGTAGGATTATAGATTTAGAAATTAAATTTCGTCTACCAGAGCTTCCCAAACTTATTTGGCCTACCTCTTCCTTTTCAAAAAAGAATTACTCAGTGCCCCCCTGGAAATCTACTTTCTCTAACCCTTTAACGGTTTTTTTGAAATTTGTGTCACCCGGGGCTACTGCTGTCCCCTCCCCAAATCATTCCAGTGATACTCTCCTAGGAATTATAGTCCAACCCTGTCATTTTACCAATGGGGAAACTGAGGCCCAGGGAAGTCAAGTGATTTGCCAAAGGTCGTGCAAGTCCTGAGTGTCAGAACTGGGATCTGAACCCAGATGTTCTTCCTCCAGATCTGGCATTCTTCCTGTTCTCCCATGACGCTCTCTCACTTGAAGACCCTGGGTGAGGACTCAGGTAGTGCCCCGCCATCAAGATGGAGCTGAGACCAGCTGACTGCACGATAATTTCCCTCTCTGGGCATCGTACTATCAATCTATAAGATGAGAGATGACCTCCAAGGTCTTGACCAGCTCTAACAAGTTTCTGCATCCATCCAGTAGCCTACGAGAGTTGAAACAAGTGCCATCCTATGGAGCACACTCTGAGTTTCCATCATGGCGGCTTTATTCATGTGGAAGCTGATTGCTGGGGACTTGTCCCCTGCCTTCATTCACCTCTGACCCAATGGAACCCAGGATGTTGGGATTTCTTGAACCCAAGTCTGGACACAGCCATCTCAGGACAGATGCTCAGTCACCTAAGATTGGGAAAGAACAAAGATAAGAGCCCAGAAAGGCAGCCAAGGGTCTGGATGCCAGCTGGCCTCGTTGAGTCCCCCTTGCATGGGTAGGCGCCATGATGCTGGGACAGAGAGAGGCAAGCCCCTCCCCAGCCCTCCCTGAAAGTCTTCCAATTACATGACATGGATTGAAGAGAAGAGAGCGCTAGTCAGAAGTTGACTTTTCCTTTAACTACCACAGCACCCTGTACCCCAGCCCTCGCCACAGGGCAGGAGATGGCGAAGGGACTGCTCAGTGTTTGCATGTCCCGCTAAAACACCACATCCAGTAGCAGCTAGGTGGTGCGGTGGATTGAACACCGGTATGGGAGTCAGGAGGACCCGAGTTCAAATCTGGCCTCAGACACTTGATACTTACTAGCTGTGTGACCCTGGGCAAGTCACTTAACTCCATTGCATAGCTAAAAAACAAAACAAAAAACCCCCAAACACTGCATCCTTTTAACACTGGGTCACCAAATGTCCAGAAGCAGGCACAAAAGCTTCCATTTCGTCTGACCAGAACCAGAAAGGGCAACCCTGGGGTGGCTATTGTTACACGATCCGCCACGGCGGGAGTTCCCCAGCCTCTCAGTCTCAGTCACCAAAAATCAACCTAGGATTCACGGCTTAAACCTAGGATTTATGTTTTATATAGAGCTATTTATTTCTTGTGATTACCAGCCTGAATGATGAAGGGGCTGGCACTGGGAAACTGGGAAAAATGAGCTTCCCATCCCTTCTTCGGCTGTTTGAACCCTTGTCCCCTTCTTTAGTCCTGGTCATCGTCTAGCCCAGGGGTGGGGAACACGTGACCCTCTAGGTCCTTGGGTGCGGCCATTCGACTGAGTCCAAGTTTCACAGAACAAATCCTTTTATGAAGAGAATTTGTTCTGTGAAGTTTGGATCCAGTCAAAGGGCTGCCCTTGAGGACCTAAGGGGCCACATGTGGCCTCGAGGCTGCAGGTTTCCCACCCCCAGTCTAGCCCATTGCTCAGCCCAGTCTCTGCTAAACCCTGAAACCATAAGGGCAAGAAAGAATTAGATAGAAAAGAAATTACCCGATGTCTGTGGGCAAGTTGGAGGAGTGAGGTGATCATGATGCAGGCTTCCCTCTTCTAAGGTTTTAAGGTTATTCACAAAGTGCTTTCTCCCCAGTGAGCCCATTTTACAGGCCCAGAGGTGAAGAAGCTGGCCATTTGGTCTGACAGCCTTGGGGTTGGGGATGCCTACCACAACCCCGGTGGAGTTCCCCAGGCAGGGCAAAGGGAGTCCTGGGCAGAGAAAATGAGGACCTGGAAGACACACTATGTAAAAGGTTGCTGGGGTCTTAGCGGGTTGTGGGCTCAGGCCCCGTTGTTTGAGCCTGACTGCATGACTGGCATCCTTCTGATACTCAGGGGAACAGAGACTGCTCCTGTCTAAGCCACAAGCCAGGCTGTAGATTAGACAAGGGCGTTTACTTAGCCTGATTGTTGGGCTCTGGCCAGGGGGGGCGGTCTTCACCCCAAAGAGAACAAGCAAACAGAAGAGGTTGCCCTTCTGGGTAGCTAGCTGGTCAGAGAATCTGGCACACACAGCTCAGGGACTTTTCAGTGATAATGGACTTAGCTAAATGGAGCTGGTCCCACAGTGTACACGCCTCTATGAGTTCCCTGATCTCGGGTCCCAAAGCTGGGCTTGATCCACAGCCCAGACGCTCGCTGGAATCAGGGGAGGATGGGCAGTATGGCTTTGACTGGGGACTGCCCAGTCCTCATGGCCATCACTGGAAACCCCTGGAGGTCTTGGCTGAGGGTTGCTTCAGGAAGATGCAAGTTCCTGGAAGGCTTGAATCATTTGTCTTGGTTCCTGCTAAGTCACAAATGCTTAGCAAATGCTGGCTGGATGAATGGCTGAGGGTCTCCATTATAATCAATGTTGGACAAGGCCAGAGGATGGGAGGGAATGTGCTGTGGGAGCCGACAGTCCCCGGGAGACCCTGCGTTCAGGGTCTTGTGCAGAATAGGCATGTAAAGAATGCTGGTTGAAGTGGTCATAGATTCAGAGCTGGAAGTGTCCATAGAGCTCATCTCCTTCCATTTGACAAAAGCCCATTGGTATCGTACTCTCTCCTCATTGGCAGAGCTCAGTGCCCGGCGCCTACATGAGGGCAGGGGGTTGGCAAGGGGTTCACTCTCTTCAAGCTCTCACATCTCAAGTCTTTGGGCTTGCTTTGGGTTTCTTTTGAGTCTTTTCAGGCTCTGCAGTCACTTTGTGACCTGTAGCCTCTGGCTTTGAGAGAGAAGATGCAAGATGCCAATCCTACTTCAAGTCTTTGAAGGGAGAATAAGCCTCTGGGGAGGAGCTGGCATGAGACAAGTGGGCAGTCTCCATCATGTCCCTAGCCTCATCTTGTTACACCAGAGAATTTCCCCTTGAGTGAGGTCTAGGGTTCTCTTTCTTGGTTGAGCTGAGTTACTTCACTACAATGGGAAAGCTCCTTCACTCTGTATTGGCTGGTATACATTCTCCTGTGTATAATTTCTCTGGTTTCTGTTTTACTATTGACTTGGACAAATGGGTTTCTTTGATATTGGCTTTTTGGTAGAAAGGGAGTCAAGCCTTGGATGTAAAGCCTGGGTCTTCCTTTCCCCCGTTAATGACCAGTGATCAAAAGTTTAGCTTGAACCAGAAAATCACATCCCCACCCCTGCCCTAGACTAATAATATTTAAGGGAGCAGATAGATGTAATTCTAGCTTAGTACCCCCAACCCTCTCTCTCTCTCTGAGGAGAGCAGAGGGGCCA